ATTATCAATACAAATACAAAAATAATAAAGTTGTGACTATGTGTATAAGAACAATTTGATTATGATTAATGATTATGTTATTATGAACACATAATAAGATAATAAGATGTGTTGTTAGATTGATGGAAGGAAAACAACACTGCCGTCCCTAAGGATCAGTACTGAAAATTAATTCCCACATTGTTATGTTTTAATGTCTGCTTGTATTATACATATCTGACTGGGACGTTAAGATTCTGTTACCTGGGATCAAACCTGTGCACCACGTAGCCAAGCCTCTTCAAATGCCCGAATACTTTGTGATGAATGAGAATCATTAGACCAGTAACAGCACTTTGTTCCTCATCCAGAATGTGTGTTGGACTAATAGTTGTACCTGATATTGCTGGAGCCTCACTGTGTTCGAGGACAGAAATCTCTCATAACCGTCCTGAATGGACAGCGGCAAGTCCTTATAAAACACCTGCAGGTTTCCCTGTTCACACATCGACACTCACAAACGTCAGAAATCAATAGTTTACAGATCACAAGACTCCTTAAGGGTTACTTTAAATATTAAGAATAAACACAAAGAGTGTTGTGTTCCAAGTCAGAGTGCCACACCCTGGCCAACAGTTTTAATCTGCACTCACACATTCCATCAGGTAGAGAGCCTTTTCAGGGAGGAGATACTGTTTGCCATCGGCAGAAAAGCCCATCGTCTGCCAAAACTTCCCTGTTATATGTCGTCACCCACCAGAGTCGGCCACCAACTGAGTCCGCAAACCCATTTTAAAGAAAGATCTGTATCTAATTGCAAAAACAGTTTGGAAATGTGGGATCAGGTTTGATTTGATGATGATTTTTAACCTGTGTCTGGGAAAGCACCAAATGCTACATTTCAGGCATGTCACAGTTCTGTTATTTCTTTTAGACTTCTCTCCTTTAGATCATTCCACATCAACCTCCCTCATGGATACCAACACATCACTTTCTTCAAGTGACAATGACCACTCCAGTCGAATAGAACATGGGACTCCCATAGGCAGACGTACATCCAGCCAAGTCATACCCAGGCCTACCACAGAGGTTTCTGAGTCAGAGGCTGCAAAAGAGGTACTGAAGGGCAGCAGATGTAATTTACATTGTTGATCATCATAAAGTGTCATACTAAATCAGTTTCTCGTCAGAGTATTTGTGACATTTAGAATGAATAGGTTTGGCTAATAGCTCTGTACTTAGTAATCTAAGGCAGATAAGAAACAACATTGCTTTTTCCCAAATCATATTGCAGTTTGTCTTGTGATTTATAAGCCCTTTGACTTACAAAGTGCTTATGGTGGAGATGAGAGCTAATATATTGTGCCATTATTTTATTTGTAAATGTTTAACTTGTGCCTGATCTTATTGTGCTCGTGGTTCAGACAAAAAAAAAGAAAGAAGAAGAAAAAAAACAAACACATTTTGCGAGAATAACTCGAAATCCATACAGTACTTCAGACAGTGAATGCAACACTCCACGTAACCCACAATGCAGCGTGTTGTTTTGTTTCGAAAGTTACTTTTACAAAGTTACTGATATAAACCATGTTAGCATCTCAAGAAGTATGTCTCTCTCAACCCCGTAAACGAAGAGTTGACGATGAAAACCGTCGTTTTCCTGGACAGACAAGTACTGTTTTATTTTACCAGAATGTTACTTTCATTTCATTTCATTTCAAAAAGGAGACAAAAGTTTGTGACAAAAATATTCTTTTTATTCGTTTAATATTTGTTTATGAAAAACAGCATTTCTACTACTTCAGGTTCTGTTTATTTAGAGAAGTTTATAATGCACTTTTTGATGTTTCTGTGTCAGATATGTTTATTTTATTTCAAAAGAGATAACAATGTTATCACCATTAATGTGCACTTTTTCTTTTAATGATTTACATAAGACAAAAATGTTTATTCTTATATTTCAGAAGTGAAAAAGTATTGCTTCTACCTCAGTTCAATTACAGTTCTTGAATTGTATTTTATTCACTTTTTGATGTGGCTGCGTTATACAAAAATCTAAAGGGGAAATGAATAAACATCACTTATTTCATTATATTTATTTGTGTTGGTTTGAAATTTGTCATTACCTCCTGCTTATTGACCGCTGAAAATGTCCGGCCCAGGTTAAGGTCTCGGTTTTAAAATCTGGCCCAATTGAATTTGTAATTGAATAGCCCTGCTTTAATGTGTCATAAAATAACACTGTGTATGTTAAAATTAATACTGAGTGAAAGGGAATAACACAATTTTAGTGTTAAAAGTGCACTTATGTGGTGTCATAAAACAACACCAAGGGTGTCAAATTTTAACACTATTAAAGAGTTAAAATATTAACACTTTTCAAAGTGTAATTTTAACTCAAAATCCATGAGAACTATATAAACTCAGAAAAAGTGTTAAAATTAACACTGTGGGAGTTGAATTAACACTCCCGATTTTAATGCTCACACGAATATGGCGGATTAATGTAGGGAATGTAGCCACATTACACCTGTATGACATTTATGAAGAAGATGATTTCTTGATCAAATGTAAGTCAATGCAATTAATGATAAATACTAATTTCTTACTTCAAATTATGGCCCTGCTGTAATTATTTCCAGTTCAATAAAAATGTGTATTGACAATGACTGTTGTGGTAGACTGCATCACTCACATGACATATATATGTCCCCTGCACAGATTTCCAGCTTTATCTCAATGTGTTGTCCATATAGTGACTCTCACAACAGTAGAGCTAACATTATCCTTGAAAACCACAAGAAAAAAAATCACATCCATAAAAGTCAAAACTGGACTTCCAATCAAGCAAAGTGCAACTACTCCAGTGGCCCCAGAACTCCAGGTCCCGCAGAAGCTAAATCCTCACTGAGTGTTAGCAAGTCTGTAAAAAAAACCTTGTTTTGGAAATTCAGTGACATTTAATATATAGTTTTTCAAAATGAAGTAGAATTGAGTGGAAATAAAATACAATAATACACAATTTAACACGGTGCAAGTATCTCTAAAAGTAATAATATTAAGAGTAATTATCTTGATTAATTATACTTCAAAAAAACACTACAATTACTACAATCACTGATTGATGTTTCAACTTGAAATGTGAGATTATAGAATTAAAAGCGCTGCTTAGTAAGACCAGAAAAACACAGGTCCGATTGTGTTTTATCATTATATCTAATGACAACTCTAATGTTGTGACACACTGTGATTAACTGAGTAGCCTGAAAAAAGTTCATGTGTTGTTTTAGCCCCCTCCAGTGGAAGTTGCAGTCAGTCAAAATGCATTCTATGTGCTATATGTCATAGCTCAAAGTACTTTGGGATATTTTGAGTGGATTAGGGCTTATTTAATCGTTTTTTTTTTTTTTATCAGTTATGTGTCTTTCATTTTTCACATTATTTTATAGTTGTTAATCGTGGGCAAGACAACCATTCATACCATCTGTGAACGCATCTGCTGTATCACTAGACCATGGATATATTGTACATCCGTGCACTGGACAGATAATAGTGGGATGTTCAAAGCAAGGGTGTGTAAGAAAAACATGTAGGAAAGCATTCATAGGGAGGTAGGCACGGACGGGGTTCGAACCCGCGATCTTCGGTTTACGAGACCGACGCCTTACCACTTGGCCACCGCGCCTGGTAATGTAAATGTTATGACGTATAATCATTTGAGTTTGGCTAGATGACTAGCGTGTATTTTACTCTGGGGAAATATTTAACACGTAAATGGACCTCGAACACCTTCAAGGCTCGACCGCAAAAGGGGAATTTAATTCCAAACTCCGTTCAAAATACATAACATTTTGACTGCCTTTCTTAACCATCACACGTTCACATACGTTATGATTTTCCTAAATTGTCCTGATCATTCGAAAACACTCTGAAATTCAGCAAAACCCCCTGAACAAAAAAAAGCATGACTGACAAAAAATTTGGAGAGGTCGCCTGTGTTAAGTATGTACTTTCTATTTACCGAATATCGAAAAGGAGCTGATGAGATGTCAAACCATTAAAATCTAAATCCACCGTGACAGAATTCTTGTTTGCCGCCGAATGCTCCAGCATACTGATTACTGTTTTAGTAATCATATTTTTGACGGTCGCCGAAGTCACAGAAAGTGTGAAATGTTAAAAGGAAGTTTGGCGTACCATGCACGAGAGAACGGACTCTTGATAAAGACACAACCGGAAGCAGCTGAAGTGGCTCACGGCAGATGGAAGTTCAGTCTGCCTATGAAACATGGTGGCTGGAGATGTAATGCGATGATAATGTGAAAGTTGGATATTCATGTATTGGATGGTTGGAAGATCCTTGCGAGTTTCAGGAGTAGCTAATGCTGTAAGTAGTATGACTGACATTTTGAGAAAAATCAGTGCTTGCTTGGTTAACATAAGCTAAAGCACAAGCTAAAGCGTTAGCTTGCTAGCAAGTGATCTCTTCGATATATAGTTATTTTTTGTGCAAAATACATTATTTTCCTTCCCATTTTTGATGCTGCGCGTATGTTGTTCCACTAATATCGTTACTTACTGTATTTGGGATTTAAACATTATACATATTAGCATTCCCGTAAGCCTATTACGTCCATAAAATTGTATTACCAATTATTTTACATTTAAACAAATCTGTGCTGATAGATAGCTATCATACTAGGTAGACATGAATTAAGACTTCTTAAATATCATTACGTGCCATTCTTCAAGTTGGTATATCTAAAATGGTATTCAATTTTATATATGGTTTTGCATGGGAAAAGTTTGATACCAACAGCTTTTACATCAAGCTCAAGGTTGGATCAGTTTGACCAAGAAATAAACCTCTACAATTTATTCTCTTTTTATGTGCCTTTTATTATCATGTTATGGTTTTACAGAAATGTTGGTGATGAAAGTAGTGATTCCAACCAAACTACAGTTAAAAAGAAGCAACATGAGTTCTTGAAGCCCTTGCTTCACATATTTGAAGGGCATTTTACATCGGTGTGATTAGTTTACATATGATTTTTACATAAATATGCCTTGTCCTAGTGTTGTGGAAATCTGAAAAAGCAGATAAACAAAGCATTTCAACAACAAAAGGATGTAAAATCAGTACTATTAATTTTTCTATGTTACTCTAAATTGAAGACTTGTCCACCGTTATAGATACAGTGGGTATTTTCAAGACTTGACTCTCTTGCCATCCAAAATAATCTGGAAAGAATACAGTTCTGAGGACTTTGAAGTTTCATTCTACACTACAAGTTTCAGCATTGACTTTGAAGCCTAGCATTGTTCAGTTGAAATTTTAGTGTGTCCTGTGTTCTTGTTCCAGTCTTTGACAGAGCGTGTCTGATCTACAGCTGAGCCTCCCTGTCTGCTTTACCATGCCGCTGGTGGTGGATGCCGTTTGGGCACTGTGGAGCATTGGAGCTGGTATCTATGACTACTTCCACACCAGTGCCATGGAGGAGAGGATCCACACACTGGAAAACGTCCTCTCTATCCATCAGTTTGTCATTGCAGCCCTGTCGGCAGGCCTCATCCTGCTCATGACGTACATACTATGGAGAAAACACTAAAATCTTGCTGACCTGGGCTTCACCAGCCAAGGCCAACCACCCACTAAATGATAAATGATTTTAATGCAGGATATTTTTCATTACCCACGCTAGTTTCCATCCAGATGTTGGCCAGAGGAACAGTCTGATTCATTCAGCTGCTCACACTTGAAGATCAAGCATGTTCAGTTATGATCGGGATGTCCCAGATGAGGTCAGGAGCACTGATGGGCAATTAAACCGAGAAAAAAAGCCTCCATAAAAACATGCTGTCTCTGAAAACTTGTCTGTACCCTTTGGGTAGTTGGAGCTTGGTCTGTGTGTCTGTCTGTTTGTCTATCTATCTTTGTGTTTTCAATGATTTACTGGCCGGGGTGGGCTACAGACGATTATCCACACTAACCCCCAAATCATAACTGCTTCTCAAGGCGACTTTGCACTTTTTTGCTAAGCTTGAAGGATTTTAATGTCTAGAAAAAATCCACTGACATGATGCCCTTAACTTAAACCAATGCCCAGTGTGTGATGAGGGGTGAAGCTGTCAAGTCATTGTCGGTGAAGACAGCTGTCTCTGAAAGGTGCCTCATGTTTACAAATGAATAATGTTATTTCTTTTAATATAACATCAGTTTTTTGTAGTGCTTATTATGTCTAAGACCATTAAGTTGATGTTATTATCTCATTATCTTGACATAACATATACTGTCCTCATGACTTAATAGTCACCTGTAATAGTCCTACATGACGGTGCAGGGACACAGTACTGGGGGTGATCAGTGTCAGTCAGTTTAATGGCTGGTGATGATTTTGTTGCACTGTTACAGTCGTGTTATAATCAAAGCGGTGATTTTAAAAGAGCGCACAAATGCATTATGGCTGCTGTGGTTTGTAATTATCCTGGCTCCAGGTGGCAGAACAGGAATAACACTGTTAAGAGTTTCAAACACTGGGAAATTAATTAATCCATCATGTGATTTACTGTTTATTTTTTCATGCTGAGGAGAAAGTATTGGAGATGTGGGATCTAATGTGTTTTTTTTTTTTACCAACACTGTTTACTGTGTCTGTGTCATTCATTTTTCCTCATGTTTTTCCTCACTAAGTGTTTAAAATTTGATCTAATGATTTAATCAAATGTATTGGTCACATTTTTTTCAGTTGCCCGCCCTTACTTTCTGAGCTTCATTGTCATTGTACTGTATGCACTACTCTGTTACTCTAACAAACCACTACCATGGCTATTAGTAAAGGGAATATGTTTGAATAATAAGTCAGAGCTTTTGTTTTTCCTCCACTTGCTTGTGTTTCATTTGCTAAATTCTTTCCTGTCATGGTTAATGAGTTGTTTTTAAATAGAACCATTTAAATAACGTTGAATAGATAATCCACAATGGGAAGAAAGTTGCAGCCTACTTTTTTTTCTTTACTCGTAAACTAATACAGTACAACTAATTTTTAAATCTGGATATTTGCCTCTATCATGTGCTTTTTTATATAACTTAATGTAAAACAGGATGAAATTGTGGTTGCAGTGGAAATTTTCTTTAAAATGGAAGGAAAAAATTTATATTCATGGAGGCTTTATTTTGTGGAGCATCAGCAGACAGAAAACCTGATTGAATAATATTTGAACATTGTGCATTTTAACAGGAAGTCAGCTATGGAAAAAATTCATCTGTATTGGTCAAAATCAAACCTAAATAGAGCCATACTGTTAGTGATTTCTGTGATTCTGTTAACTGGTTAGTTGTTGCAGCTTAGAAATGTATCACCACTGTGTGAGTTCAACTAATGTGTGCCCATGAGCTATTTTTGTCCTCATTATGTTTTTGGGTCACTGGTTTAGTCATGTGCAGAAATGAAGTGCTCATTTTGAACCATATCTAGATAAATTATTGCCATGTAACAGCTGTCTTGATAGCCTCAGTTTCTTTAAAAAATGTTTTCAACAAACAACTGGATTGTTTTTATGAATGTATATTTAAGCAATAATCTTCATGGTGTGTTCAGATTCATGATAAAAATCTGAACATATTGTAAAAAGCAATGAGGGGCTCAGCTGCCCATTGTTCCAAAATCAT